CCGCCAGGCGTGAGGGTGGGGCGGTCGTGGAGGTCCGTTGGAAGACATGCAATGTGTAGTTTGCGATCGTGGCGCCTAAACGTTCTAACAACTAGGGAGGGCGGCTATCGCTGTAGCACCGTGCGTCGTACAACCCGCCAGTGCCTTGTGAGAGTGGAGGCGTGAAATGTGGCAGGGTCTGTCTGGTAAGGCTCTTGCAATCTTATACGTCAGGTTCGTGTCGTGCCGACTTCGGCGTTGGTTTCTGACACCGCGGGAATCGGTCGACCTCAAATGATCGGCCGTTTCCGAAACGTCCGAATCGTTCCACATCGAACGAATCTGGGTCGCCCGCGGCGTTCAAAGTGGAACGCCGCTGGTGGGGTCGTCGCTGGTCGACACGACACGAACCTGTACCGTAAGAGACCCCCTCTCGCGGTCGCAGACTGCTGCGTGCACCCCTTCTCCTCACGGAGACCACTGCCCCATAGTGCCCGCTCGCGGACGGTGCACTTCCAGCATGGCAGCTAATACCTACCACCCCCCTTCCACGCGCGTGCCCGCTCGAGGACGCGACGCATCCCTCATGGCAACTAATGCCTGAGCCCACCTTCCACGCGTGCCCGCTCGAAGATGGTGCACCTCCCGCATGGCAGCCGATGCCTGAGCCCACCTTCCACGCGTGCCCGCTCGAGGATGGTGCACTTCCCGCCACCTGACGTCTGAACCATCATTCGATGTGCGCCCGCTCGAGGGTTGCGCGCACTTCCCGCATGCCTGCCACCTCCTGGACCCCTCATCACACGCGCACCCGCTCGAGGGTCGTGCACGACCCGCATTCCCAGGCGCTGCTCCCAAGCGCTCCAGTTCCCCCGCAAGCCACGTATAACAACGATGGATATGCGTCCCGAGCTGCCAAACGGCCCGTGCTGGCAACCACGGACACCACCAAAGGCACCACGATGGCCTACGATGCTTCGACGACGGCCCAAAACGGCCCCACGGCGGCCGAACATTGCTTCGCGGCGGCTCAAGATGCCCCCAACAGGGCCCACATGGGCCATAAAAAACCTTAAACAACATCCAAAGACACCAAAATCATTGCGTTCCCGTGTGGGTGGTTGGATGAATTCCATGTTCTCGCCTTTTCGGGCTGCCGTCAACGCAAGACGGCCCACTGGGACTCCGCGCGCGATGGCCCACGAGGCATCCCCAAGACGGCCCTGAGGCGCCCCGACGACTGTCCAAGAATGCTCCCCACAGGGAACAAGACGGCCTTAGACGATCCGTCGACGGCCCAAGGCGGCACCAAAACGGCCGCACCCACGACGGCACCCCGACACCCACCAGACGGCCAAGCTGGCCCCAACACGGCCCAAGAGAAACCCGAGCTGGCGTAAGAGAGTCCCAAGATGGCCCCACGACGGCCCGAACGAGTTGCATCAGAATCAGCATCGTCAGCATCATCATCAACATCAACATCCGCATCATCCGCATCATCATCATCACTATCACCACCACCACCATCATCACCATCATCATCAACAGCAAAACCATCAAAACCACCCGTGTTACCAACATCATCAGCATCAACCTCATCATCACCAACATCGGCATCGTCATCATCATACTCAGCATCAGCATCGTCATCATCATCGTCACCAGCATCAATGTCGTCATCATGACAATCATCAGTGTCACCATCAGCATCGTCATCGCCATCATCAGCATCAGCATTATCATCAGCATCATCACTATCAGCATCAGCATCAACAGCATCCTCAGCATCGGCAGCATTAGCACCCGCAGCACCATCGCCATCATCAGCATCGCCAGCATCACCACCACCAGCATCATCTTCATCGACATCGACATATTCATCATCATCATCATCATCATCATCACCATCATCATCATCAGCATCATCATCAATATCATCATCAGTGTCAGTGCCGTCATCGTCATCATCATCATATTAATCAGTATCACAATCAGCGTCATCATCAACATCATCATCAACATCATCGGCACGGTCACCATCACCAACACCATCGCAACCATCACCGCCATCAACATAATCATAATCAGCATCGTCAACGTCGTCGACATCGTTGCCATCCTCAGCAGAATCAGCATCATCAGCAGCATCATCATCATCACCATCATCATAATCATAATCACCATAATCATCATCCGCATAATCACCATCACCATCATCAACATAATCAGCATCACCATCAGCATACTCATCAGCATCGCCATCGTCGCCGTTCTCAGCCTCATCCTCATCATCATCCTCCTCATCATTACCGTCATCGTCATACTCGTCATCAGAGTCGTCATCGTCATCATCGGCATCACCATCAACAGCAAAACCATCATCACCATTATCAGCCATGCCATCGTCATCAACACCACCAACAACAACAGCAACACCACCGTCATCACCACCATCATGATCATCGTCGTCATCAGTACCATCACCATCGGCAATATCATCATGAGCATCGCCACCGCCATCACCATCACCAGCATGATCACCAACACGTGTACCTTCAGCATCAACATCAACATCATCAGCAACAGCATCATCGTCATTATGAGTCATTCCTACCACCGCCACCAACATCACCGTCACCATCATCATCACCATCATCACTAACATCGATGCTGATCAACATCATCATCACGGATCGTCGTCATCGTCATCATCCCCATCATCATCATAGTCATAAGCATCATCATAATCATCATCATCACGGCCCTCCCAAGCCTGGAAACACGAGGTGTCACACGTCATGGCCTCGCGTCCCCCCTGAAACAACGGCCACCAAAAATGCTGGGCTGGCAAGGTGGCGGGCGGGACTTGCCGCAGGCAGCTGTATTTACTCCAACAGCTTCGCTGATGAAAATTCGGCAAGAGTCAATGGAAGGTAGATCATCCATTCGCGCGCGGAATAGCGGTCCGAATAGCGCGCAATAGCGGCCCTGTGCTGTCTGAGCGACGACGAGCTAGCGTTGCGCCGCTGTTCAATATCGCCGCAGAGGTGGCCATGGCAATGATCAGAACGCCCGGCATGAACGCGAATCCTCTCTTCTGACAAGTACATCGCCCAAGATCGCGACTCGCCCGACACTCCTCGCTATTCTTGGCTAAAAGCAAGAGGCCAAGATTACACGAGCCTTCCATTGAATGCCATCCCATGAGGGGTGGATGCTGTGTAGACGTGACGTGCTGCCCAGAGGCTTCGTTATATTCTTTATTTGCTCGGCGAGAAATGTGTTGAAAGGACGGCGGGCGGTTCGTTCTGTCACGCCGCCTCAAACCACCATCAACGTATGCACTGTGAACCTCAAACAATGGAATGGTATCCCGTAGTAGACGCGGTGTAATCTAGGTAATGCAACCTAGGTGTTGCAAAGCAAGACAAAGCGATACAAAGCAAGCGATGTAAAGCAAACCAGTGTAAATCAATGAAGGGCAATGCGGCGAGGCGGCGACGCCGACCACAAAACGGCGGACCCGACGCGCAAGACCAAACGACGTCCGGCGACGGCGGTCATGTAACCGTAACCGCCACACCGCCGCGCAAGCCCCCAACGACGGGCGGCGGCGAGGCGGCGACGGGGCGGCGACGGCGGCCACATAGCCGCCAGACCGCTGCGCAAGCCCTCAACGACGGGCGGCAGCGAGGCGGCGACGGGGCGGCGACGGCGGCCACATAGCCGCCAGACCGCCGCGCAAGCCCCCAACGACGGGCGGCAACGAGGCGGCGACAGAGCAGCGACGGCGGCCATATGGCCGCCAGACCGCCGCGCAAGCCCCCAACGACGGGCGGCAACGAGGCGGCGACAGAGCAACGACGGGGCGGCGACGGCGGCCACATAACCGTCACACCGCCCTTGCAGGCCCGCGACGAGGCCGCGACGAGGCGGCAGCATGACCGCCAGGCCGACGAGCAGCCCCTGCTCCCCAGGCCACAGCCAAGAACCCCTACGATGCAAGCACTGTTTGGGTAACGGTGGAACTTGCAGGGGCCGCACACCGAGTGACGTATGGAGGTGGCTCAGAACGATGCCTGCACTGGATACGCACATAGACTGTACGGTCATGCCTCTCGGCACTCTCTACATGTTGAAAACATGGAGGCCGAATGCTGGTCATAACGGGGCCCTCGATTCAGTGACAAGCCCGTGCGGCGTTCGTCCTTCAGGGGTGGGGGGCACTAGAGATAAAAGAAATGACCGCGAAGACTTACGAGGAGGAGACTTGAGACGGGAGAGTGTGTTGCAACATTCTTGGCGCATGCTGGATTTACCCTGGCCATCTTTATCGTCGATTTTTCAGTATCGCCCACATCATCCTGATCCTCCTCATCTATTGAGCATCCTCATCCTCCTCCCGCGCTCCTACTCATACTCCTCCCTCTGCTTTTGATATTCCGTTTCTATCTCATCCTCCTCCTTTGGACTTGCCTGACCATCTATCCTCCCTCCCCTGGCCATTGTCTCTCGCATGATCAAGTCCCTCACCCGCCACCTCTCCTCATCCTCCCCCGCCTCCGCGAATGCCAGTTGCTGGGGTCCGAACTCTGGGGGTCAGAGTTGGAATCGATCCAAATCCGTTGTGAATTGGCCGCTCCCTCGAAAAACTTAAGAGAACACATACGTTCTTATCCTTGATTAGCGATCGAGTTATTTGAATTACGTGGGGCGCCTGAGGCAATTAGAATATTCCGCCAGGCGATTTTGGTTTTGCCTCCGCGAGGTCCAGGGGGTTGCAAGGAAAGTCTGTTGAAATTGGTGGGCAATGCGCGGGCGGCGGATGAGAAATCTCTAAATGAGGAGCGGAATAATGGACCAGGCTAGGCCCTGCTGGACTTGGTGCCCGTTATCCAAATATCAAATGCCTCGACAAAGGCGCACTTGCCAATTGCCGCTAGCCTGGCTAGCATCCGGGGCCGCACGCCACGGGTAACTATCGGTCAGGGCCACCCTTGCGTGCAGCCGAAAAAGGGATCTCCTCCAGGGTGTCCAGCGCGACACCCACCCGCAACGCCGGACCCCTGAAGATCTTGCCGCGGATCCGCTGCAGGGCCTTGGCCACATCGGTGTCCTCGTGGGGGGATGACAAGGAGGAATGAGGGAGGAGGGAGTATGAGGAGGAGAGGAGGAGGAGGAGGAGGAGGAGGAGGAGAAGGAGAAAGAAAGAAGAAGGGTAGGAGGAGGAAGGAAGAGGATAGAAGAGGAGGAGGAGGGAGGAGGAGGAGGGAGGGAGTTAAGAGAGGGGAGGAGGAGGAGGAGGAGGAGAGGAGGAGGGATAGGAGGAGAGGAAGGAGGGAGGAGGAGGAGGAGGGAGGAGGAGGGAGGAGGGGAGAGAAGGAGGAGGAGGAGGAGGAGGAGGAGGAGGAGGAGGAGGTAGGAGGAGGAGGAGGAGGAGGAGGGGAGGATGGGGAGGAGGAGAAGGAGGGAGTAAGAGGAAGAGGCCAGGCAGCAGAGGTACTCTCTGGAGGATCTGCGACAGGACTTTGCCCACCCCGGGCATCGAACCACTGCGCAGGCCCTTTGGGGCCCTGGATCCCGCTGCCGTGGGGGGCCCGGATTTGGCCGGGCTTAGCTCGGAGGAGCTGCGGCGCTGCCGCCCGCTCCAGCTGCGCATCCCGAGGCTCCTCCTCCTCCTCCTCCTCCTCCCTCATCCTGGCCGTCATTATCCTCTTCCCTCTCCTCATCCCTCCTCTCCTCCCCCCTCCCCTCCTCCCCCCCCCCTCCCCTCCTCCCCCTCCTCCCCATCCTCCGCCTCCTCCTCCCCTCCTCCTCCGCCTCCTCCTCCTCCTGCTCCTCCTCCTCCTCATCCTTCTTCCTCCTCCTCCTCCTGCTCCTCCTCCTCCTCCTCCACAAGCTGGCGGGATGGGCAGAAGGCCATTAGATAGAAGATCTCATGGGCGGGGTGCACTCGCTCAGTCAAGCCGTGACCTGTGACGGGAAGCGCGAAACTGTGCCCTCCCGCCGTACGTCCCCAGGGCTCAGTCTCAGCGGGGGGGCTTGAACAGGGCGTGGCGGCAAGCACCCGAACTCCTGCCATCGCTCGGACGTCCGGTCCCCGTCTTGTTGGGCTTCATGCGATGGTTTCGCAAGATGATCCAGGATCCTCCTCGATAGTCCACGCCGAGAAAAAAACACACGCCCGAGCGATGCCCAGGAACTCTGAGGCGCGGCGTGACGCTCTGGCACGCCGCGCACCACCAGAAAACTGGAGACCGCACGCCTCGAGGATGCGGCACGAGGCTCCAGTGGCAGTCGATCCTCGTCCACGTCCTCGTCATCGCCCTCCTACTTCTCTTCCTCCTCCTCCTCCTCCTCCACCCCCTCCTCCTCCTCCTCCTCCTCCTCCTCCTCCTCCTCCTCCTCCTCCTCCCTCCTCCTCCTCCTCGTGGGCCGCGGACCAAAGGGCGGGGCGTCTCTTCCAGCCATCGCCCTCAGCCAACAGCGTTTCCCTTGGCAGCGATTGGAGAACCCATTCCCCAATCATATGTGCTGGCACGCTTGATATATGATACAATTTTGATAGACCTTTGAATCAACCGTTCTCTTGCATGCGCGTTTCATGGCCGTAGTGTCGCACGCCCTCCGTCTCCGCTTGCGGAACCAAGGGCCTCCGCGGGCTCCTCGACTGGACTTGACCTTGACCTTGACCTTGACCTTGACCTTGACCTTGACCTTGACCTTGACCTTCTCCTCAGCCTCTGCAGCCGCCGCCAGTGAAATACGCTCTGGCCGGCGAATCCAATGACGCGGTCGCGCCGACGCTGTCGGTGCCAGGCAGCCGTCCCGATGCACCCTGCCACGCAGGCTCCCCCGCCTGACCCTCCCCTCAACCTCTGCCGCCGCCGCCGGCGCACTGCGCCCTGGACGGCGAGTCCGTCACGCGGTCGCGCCGACTCCGTCGGTGTCGGGCACGCGTCCCGCCGCAGGCGCAGCACCGCCTCCAGTAGCAGAGGAAACAACGGCATAAACATAAACTGTTGGCGCTCCGCGCGGATTTCTTGGATCTGCGCTGGACCCCCTTCCCTGGCGCGCGGAGCGCGCCAGGGGCGCCGCCGGAGGCGCCGCCAGGGGGTCCCAGCGCAAAGTGTATATGAGGGCAGAAAATCCACCCCGATAATAACCACCCCGACACGAGAGGCCGTTTAGTCAACGCGCCCAAAGAAGGAATCGGAGAGGGCAGGGCTGTTTAGTCAACGCCCAGGGCCGGTTGAGTGAACGCCGCTTCTCCGGTCCGGGTGGATGATGCTTGTTTACAGTCGGGGCGTTGACCTAAGGAACCCAAAAAAAGGAATGGGGCCCCTTTGTTCCATAAGTCAAACTTTGATTTCCCATCGACACATCCAAGGAAAATCTCAGGCAAACTGTAAAACAATGAAGGGATACGGAGCCTCTCCCCAACGAGAAGGGTTCCTTCTTCAGCGCCCCGACTGTACGCCGTTTCTTCTTCTTCGATCCAGGGGCGTCCGGCACGCCCGCGCCGCCTGGGGCAGCAGCCGCGCCGAGATCGCGCGACCAGCCAGTGTTCGGGGCCCCGCCGCCGGCGGGCAGCGTTCGGTCAGGCACGTCCCCCTGCAGACAGGTCTGGGGCGACCAATGAAACAACGAGTCAAACACATACACCAAAATAGTCAAACACATACTCAACGAAAACGTTCGAAGAGTCAAACAAATACACACAAATAATCAACATAGGGATTATGTTTTTAATTTTCCGCTTGTAGTCTCCATACGATGTTTGGACCATTTTTCAACATTCCCCCTGTAGGGGGACAGGCCCGACTTAAAAATAGGCATAACCGGACCCCTAACCCTTTGGGAGGCGACCTACGTTAGGCGGGCCGGGAGCATCAGGGATATGGGGTCTGTCCTGCAGATGAATCTGGCCAAGCCGCCCACACACATGTATATGTATATATGTATATAGGTGTAATAGGTGAAACTATATATACACATATACACATCTACAATCACACAAATATACCTATATGTTTATACATAGACTAAGGCGAAGACGGGGGCCTGAGTGAGGCCACGTCTTCATCGTGTTATAAGGGTTAGGGGTCTTGTTGACGATGCCTCCAGGACCTGGAGGCGGAACTACATCACAAGCGCCACGGTCGAGAAGCCCAAGCGGCACGACATCCGCACCGATCACCCAATCTGCCTCGCAGTCCTCCCCATCCCGGGGGAAGCCGCGGACGGCGGAGCGGGCCCCAGGCCCGCTGAGAGCGAGCTGAGCGAGCCGCTCATGACACCACGGAGGCCCTAGACAGTTCTACTGCACACGCCCGAAGCCTCCAGCTACGTACTATCACCGATGCTTGTTCTTGTGGAGTCGCAGCCGCCATCCCAGCAGCCTGAGCGCCTCGAGCGGAGCAGACTCAACTGCCCGTGTGCCGAGTGACCCACGCCTGGCCCTCCGTCCACAAGCAGCGCTGGTGCAAGACTCTGCGAGCTCGTGGACACCGGCTTCGACCTCCCTGGCGCCTGTTTTTTTTGGAGATTCGCGGTAGCGGGCGTGCTCGGGGGAAGGGGGGGGGATTCGTCCCCCCCGATGACATCACGGCGGGGGGCCGCCGGAAACTTAGGCAATCCTATAAAAAAACACACAAAAAAACACTGGAATCTTTGAAAATGTGGGCGAAACATCAGAACGTGATCCAGGGGGGGGGGAGGGAGGGAGAGGGCCGATCACGGCCGTCATCGCCCAGACCATGCACGAAAATCATGGCTCCTGAGCGCATGAAGCCACAGACTTTTGGGTGACCCAAGAGGGGGTCCAGCTGAAAGGGGGTGGTGCAATAGACTTGGGGCAATTGGTATTGCAAATGTCCTGCGCCGGAGAATTGCATTGCATTGGCAAGTAATGTATTGCACGGGAAGACACAGCAATACATGTCCGCCCCGAAATTTGCTGCACGCCCCAGATGTATTGCAACCCAACAAATCTCGGGCGTTGGCAGGACTGGGTTTAGTGGGACCCGGATTAGTGATGTGTACTGGGGGACGCCCCCCCGCCCCATTCCACTAACCGGAACTGCCGTCACCCGAAAAACACCAGCTACGGCAGACCTGGTTTAGTGATTCTGGCTAAGTTAGAGGCTCCGGGGCCCTACCACTAACCAGGTCCCCTTACCTGGGGTCCTGGCTATATCCCAAAATCTATTGCACCAAATCTATTGCACGACCCCCTTGTCGCTGGACCCCCTTTTGGGTCACCCCGAAGACTGCGAGCAACTCCGACGAGAGGCACACCGGACTCGCCACCACCCGCAGGCAGGCGATCCGCGGCAGCGGAGCCGAGCTCTGCGGCTCCTCCCTCGCCTGTCGTCGCCCGATCGCCACGCGGCCGCCGCCGGCGCGCCCGCGCAGGCCGGGCAGGCTGGCAGCGCTGGCATCGAAGGACACTGGCGTTGGATCGGGCCTGTCCCCCTACAGGGAGATCTTTTGGGCGAAACATCAAAAAATGTCAAAGCATGCCCAAAAAAACTCCAACAGAAAAATTATAAAAATCGTCCCCAGAGTGTTTTGTTTAACTATTGTTGAATATTCCCCCTGCAGAGGGACAGGCCCGGCTCAACACTGGCGAGCGTTTTCAGATCCGACGTTTCGACAGTGGGCCGAAGGGGGGGAGGGGGGCGGGGTCTGGCTCCGGACCTCTGCCTGACGCGACCGTTTGCAAGAGTGCGTCTTATGGGGGGGGACTCCACCTGCTTGAAGCAGGCGCCAAAAATGGCCAAGATCTACTCCGTGGGGTGGGGGAGGGAGTGCGAGGGCCCGCGCCGATCGGCGGGCCCGCGGGGCAAGGAAGTGCTTTCGGGCACGACGCAGCGCATGTGAGTGATGCCTCCCACGCCCACTGGCGCGCCTGAGTCCACATCCGCGGCCGCTGGGGGCGGCCATGGAGAAACTCAAGCCATAACGTCATTACGGCCCCGCTCTCCACTCTGCCACTTACTGCACTCCGTCCAGCGATAGCACAACATAGAGACTGCACCACACAGAGTGCTCCACCCAGACTGCACAACAGAGACCGCCAGAAGCACGCTGCTTGGGGCCCACGCTGGCTGA